GCAAAGACCTCAAGGAGGATTTGCTGTCTCGAGAGTGAATGAATTGCAGTGACTAATTTGATCCTATTCCAGTGATGTTCCAAATACCATAAGTGATTCTGGTGATGTAAAGAGCCCCCAGCTGGTTTATGTTTTCTGACTGTGGGAAGTTTTTATTTTATGTACCAAATTGTTTCTGTGGAAAAATTCTGAAAAACACAACAGAATGGGTGAAGTGACACAGAATAGAAAGAAAATAATCAATGTGATGACCAGTACCCTCTGAGGACAGCTAACTGTGTCTTCATAAAATAATTTTCTCCCATCCCCCCTCTCACTACATTGTTCATTTCAGTGTTCTGTCCTTCCACTCAGATGTTATTTCCCTTTCAATAGGCAAAATAATTGAAAGTAGCTTGTGTTTTTCCTTGGGTTTAATGAGTAGTGGAAATGACTGCACAAAGAGGCAAAGAACCTCAGTTAGCTTGGCAGTGATAGAAGCAGGTCAAGGAAAGGGTGTAAGAGACATAGGCACATATTTCTGCAGCTTCCAGCAAATAACTATTGAAGGACTTTCTGAGCCAAAGCTTGTACCTTGAGCATCATATTAAATTGCCAGCAATTAATTAGTCCATAGAATAGTCTTTTTTCCACCTCTTCTTTTAACCCACCTTATAGATATTTTGCATTAATTAAATATTTTTATTTATTTTTTATTTTTTTGTAACTATTTTTTTAATCATCATTGGATAGCTTAAACCGTTTACATGTTGTCATCTGTGTAAACTGCATATTTTCTTCTGATTCCTCAGTAGGGGTACTTTTATAGAAAATTGGTCCATATCAGCTATGGGTTATTTTTTGAATTCAGGGTATATTTTTAAAGAAAATGCCTTGCATGGAAAGAATTTGTGTTCTACGTACAGCAGATTTACTACTGACATTAGAAACACTTCACCAGAACAACCTGTAACCCTGACATTTTCATTAATCCCTTGCAATTAATTCCACTTGTGGGGAATTAATTTTACCACCAAATTATTTAAACAGGGCCTCACCATCTCAACACGACCTCCTTACATCTATTTTGAATTCAGATGGGGGAAAGTGGCTTTTAAAAACTATGATGAAATCTCCCAAATGAGTAATGCATAAAGGCAGTGCAGAAGAAGGAGACAGGAGGTCCGTAGTCATATTTAAAAGAATGCATCAGATTACTGTAATGATATCTGGTCAGTATATCTAATCAGTATATCTGAAGCAATTAAGCTGCATCTATAAAATATGAAGCAATGTTAAATTTGTGTGAGGTGGGAACGCTGGGTTTGTAATTGCTAATACTTCTCATGGTCAGGAACAATTGCAGTGAATGAGAAACTGTGAGCTTTGTGTGCTCTAAGGAAAACCAACTAGCTTCTCTTTGTCTGGAACAAAAATCATTCCTTTTCATAACAATATCTAAACTGTGTAGTAACCAGGGGATATACCACTTAAAGACCTGATCAACTCCCTGTTGCAGTAAATAAGAGTTTTCTTCAGCGCTGAGATTTCTTTCCTTTTCTGTTTTTTTTTGTTTTTGTTTTTTTTTAAGTAAATGCAGTGATTGCAAAAGATTTATCAACTGATGTGTTATTAGAAAGTCAAAAGTCCAGCCCTTATGGCTGAATCCCTAAATAATTAAAGTCCAAAAGATGAAAATCTTCATTTCAGGTTGTTATTTTTAAAGTCTCATCTTTTCTTAAAACCTTATCTGAGGGAGGAGGCTGATTTATGGTCTTTCAAGTCTTACTGGCAATTGATTGATTCATTAAGTCCATTATGAGCAAGCAGAGATATCATTAATACGTTTTTATGTGTTCTTTGTTTACATAGACATTGTTTGGAATGTCCTCACTAAATATTGTTCTAAGCCCTTTCAAAGTCCCATATAATTCTGGGTAGAGATGCAGGGCCGGGAGAAATTTGTTAAGGAGGCATACTTTTTGTTAGTTCAAAGAGGCAGCTGGAAGGGCTGCTTTTCTGTTATTTAATTTATTTTTCTAAATTCTGAGATATTTTACAATATACTGCAAAGGTCTTCCTATGGACTTGCAAGTATCTCATGCAGAGTGCCAGCTGACTGCAGAGTAATTTGTATAAATCAGGGCAAATCCCGCAAATAAGGATGACTTGCACAGAAGTTGCAGGGAGGATTAGGCTGCCTAAAAAATGGTCTGGTGCCATTTTAGATGCTGTAGGGCTATGGTAGGTATAGCCAGGACCTACAGAATACCTGTGACTTCCTAGACTGGTAGTGGAAAACCAGGCAGGGCACCCCAGGCCATATCATATCACATGAGATGCCTAAGTTCAGGCAACCAAATTTCAGACTGAATTGCGCATAATCTCTTTGTCTCCTTTCAGAATTCCTCCCACCCTAAACCAGGTGTTTGAGGGGTCTGATGTCTTGCTCTCCAGAGGCATCTGTCTTTTCCTACTGACAGTGCTGACTGCCTGTTTTTAGGTAAGGATGAAGGTCGATGCTGAAAACTTATTTGTAGATCACTAAATTTAATGGAAATTAAATGGAGAAAGTAGTATAATTCCACAGCAGATATCTATTCATGAAAACATATTAGTATTCCTTCAAGGTTTTCAATTATCCATCTTCTGCAATTCCAGTTTGAAGACTGACAAATACTCTGGCAAGTAACAGTTATTTTTACATTTGATATTTTAAGTTAATTTAGTGCTCAGTTTAACTGCGATGTTAGTGCTTCTGGAGCAGAATGCATATTCTTTAGGAAACAGAAGCAGAGATTTATTTTTACTTTCCTTCGGACATGGGTAGGAAAATCCAGCCAGGTTTGCTGGGTTGTTATTTCCTCGTGGTACTATTATGCTATATTTGCTTTCATTCTGGACATGAGCAAGCAATACAATTAATATGCGGAAAGAAGGAGCATTCTTGTTAGATACCAAACAGCGGAGGCCTGTGCTTTGGGAGATAGGGAATACTGATTATTGTTTTAGATTTGCATCAAGCATGCAGTATGTTAATTGGTTGGAGCACAAAACAGTAAGTTCACTTTTCCTTTCTGAGGCTGACAAAAATAATACTGATTGGCAGAGATTACAATAGTGGTTTTTGAGCATCATAACCTGATTAGTTTGAAACAAGTAACTCATTAAACATAAAGTGGAAATGAATTTGCTTGTTAATTCTATTCAAATTGCACTCTTTTCTAACCAACACAGCACACTATATGACAGAACCAGTTCTTCTATGTGTCTTTTGGCCGGCTGAGAAGTTAGTTATATTTTCATAAGAGATTAGAATCATAATGCAGAACTTTTTTTGTTTGGTTTTCTTCATCTAAGTTATAAAAACCTATCATCCTGGTCAAAGGAAACATACTGGGTGTTCAGAGACTTTATGCAGAAAAATAAATTAAGACAAAAAGAGGTATCTATTTTTTATTTTTTTTTCTCTCTGAGAGTAAAAAAGTGAAATATTTGGTGTAAATGAATCCACATAAATCTACTTTATAGAGACAGAAAATTCCGGAGGGCAACTCATCCTGTAACAGGAGTCTGAGACAGTGAACATGATTAACTCCATGGGGGTACATCTTTTTCTCTTTGCTGACTGAGGAACGTGTCTTTATACCCGGATTTATAGCTACAGACTTAGGTTTGGCAAGTATGATTGTCGCATCAGTGCAGCCCTTACCCTACAGAACCTGGGGAAAGTTAGGAGTTAACGGCTGTCGTTTAAAATTTTAGGGTATGTCTATCCTCAGACATCAGCTCATTTTGCCTGCAATGGCTTGAGAATCGGGAGTGCAGCAGAATTAAGACTCAGGAACTACCCAGGCTCTCTGGACATGAATTATTGTCCAAAAGTAAACTAGATACATTAACCTAGAACCAGCTAAGGAATCTGTATAATTTCGTAGGTTGCATGGTGAATCCATGTTTACCAGTTTGTGTAAGAGTTAATTACATTTGATATCTGTTCACCGGAACATGATGCTTTTAAATTGCATATCCTGCAATGTCCCAACCACAGACTGTTTCAATGGATGGATGATTACTTAAACAGCAGTGGTGACTAGGTGATACTGCCTTTTTTTCAGAAGATATTCATTCTAGAGGACATGACAGGAGATGACATTGAGCAGGTTAAACAAGCTGACCTTGGCAAGTTGGGGATTTTTGTTTGATAATTGCAAGACAACTGCAACTGCAAGGCTGGAGGCTACCAGCCTCCCTCAGCTGAGAAGCCCATATGTCAGGATTGGTATGGCTAACAGCTAAAGAAGTAGAACATCTTTTTGGAGGCCCCTGAGGAGAGGACACAGGTTCTTCAGAAGTCCCTTATGCTGCAGTGAGATAACCCACTCACTCCAGCTTCACCAGTGATGGATGGACATTGAGCTGGAGATTTAACAGCTGGAGATTTAACAGCTGCCATGTCAACATAAGTCTGTGTTTGGCAACATCAAGCTGTGTTTTTCTGTTTTAGGTTTGATGTGCTCTGGACATATGTTGGTTAAGACCTTTAAGATGGCTTTGCTTCACATAAAGCTTGGGACATACGACCCTTGTTAGATGTAATTGTAATGGCTGTAGCAGCTGCAGCCTCAGTCCCTCACCTGGAGTTCTAAGTGCACATATTCATTGAAAAATGTGTACCAAATATGGCATCAGACAGACATCCCATGTTCCTTTTAGTCTTCATCAGGTTGCTGAGAGAGGTGGTAGGTGCCCCATCTCTGGAAACATTCAAGGCCAGGGTGGAAGAGGCCCTGAGCAACCTGGTGTAGTTAAAAATGTCAGTTGTAGGGGTGTTGGACTAGGTGACCTTTAAAGGTCCATTCTGACACAAACCATACTACGATTCAATGATTGATTATTAAACATATTCATTTTACACAAAATCTGAGGTGTTTTTGTTACATCTCAAAGCCATAAACTTTGTCTGCATGTTAGGTTTCAGTCTCAATTCTTTCCACCTTAAATTACTCCAGTGGGCAAAATTATAAATAGCTTCTGACTTTATTCAGTTCAGTGTTTATACAGTTGCTTTAAATACACACACAGAGTATGAGCAAGACAAACTATTATTCTTCAATACATTTTCAAAATGCTTTAAAAATATGCATGGAAGCATTGAAGTTTAGCATGGGGAAAGAGTAGCAGCATGGTGTGTAAGAAAGGCATGACCCGAACTAACTTTTGCTGCCCGTTTTCTTTGATGGATGCAGGATAAAGACAATAGCTTTTTTACTACAGATGTTAGCAACTTATCCTTTTCTCCATGAGTGTGCTGTTGCACATTTATGATTATTCCATAACAGACTTCACTATATTTTCCTGTTTAATCTTCGTTCTATAAAATACAGCATGCCTCATTATGTGCTACCTCCCACCAAGTGTTAAACTTTTCCTTGGAGGTTATGACCACTCTCAACTCCCCCAAAAGTGAAGCAGCTTCAAGCCTCCCAGAACTCAGGAACATTTTGAGACTCTTTCCCCCACATATGGTAGGTAGTAATAATTTATGCTTTGTTTAATACTGGGCACATTTCTGCAGCAGTAGAAAGCTACATGTAGGGAACTTAAATTCCACCATTTCAGTTCTGTTTGTAAAAAACCTGCCACATTAATTCACAACACCTCAGAAGGTCCACCTGAATATGACAAAGAAGTGTATAGTTTCCATGTGTTGATAGTTGGCTCATTCTTGAAGTTTTTGGTCAGCCAACCTCTCACCCATTCATCTGAAGTTCTCTGGATGTTTTCTTTACATAAAACGTACAGGACTAATGTTACTGAGTGTATCCATAAAAAAATTACCGCCACAAAAAGTTTAGTTTTTGTACTGTTTTGTACTTTTCCCCTAGAATTATAACTCATTTTCTCCACAGGCTTAAGACAGCTTTCCATATGTACTCTTGAATTTTCAAAGACAAATAATGTATGTGTACATCCAATTATTTCTGTCTGTGGTTCATATAGTTAAAATCTTAAAATTATCAACTACACCAGTGTCTACATGTTGCAGACACCTGGTAATTCAAATTTATTGAGTTCATGGAATAACAAGAATATATAACTAACTCTCTACAAACATTATTGTCTTCTGTTAACAGTTGTGAAACCCCTGGGCAAATCAGGGACAATTTTGTTCTGCTTTCAAATGCCTCCCTTTCAGTGCAGAAGTTGATAATTTCTTACACTTCCAAAATCTCAGCCTGCTTGTCTGTATGCAGCTGTCACACTAAAATTGCTCTAGGCTTATGCCCTCAGCTTTCTCTCTGTTCATGTTTCCAGCACCTAGAAGACTGAAGATTCAAAGCTGTTACTTTCTATTACTTTAGGGGAGAAAAATAGTTCTAAGGTACCTTGCACTTGTTAAAATCATAGCTTTAGTGCAAATTAATGCTTCAACCAATTAGTACAGTGTAATGACTTTAGTCTGCCCAGGCTGACCTACATGAAACTTTATTTCATTATTAGCTTGTTCCAATTTCATGGTTGATTCATGTCCAGTGAAAGTACTCCAGCCTTATCAGATCTTCCACATCAAATCCTGTTGCTGCTTAGGGCACTTTTAAAAGTGTTCTCTTTGTTGTGTGAGCTAACACTAGCAGACGGATTTGCAGGATCATGGCTGGTGTTGGTAATGCAAATATCTGCTTGTTTTTTTAGCAATAGCCCACCTTTATTCTGCCTTTCTTTAAATAAGCCATAAAAAAACCATTAAATATCTTTTTTAGGGAATAGGTTCAAAGCCAGATTCAACAATCGTGGCAGAAACCATGTTAAAAATCAAAGTAGAAATCTTTCATAACTTAATAATTTTAAAATCTTACTGTACAATATCAACAGAACTTCTTTTTGTTAAATATTTCCATAAAGCAGTGGCATGTGAAAAAATAGTTTTAAGTAAACCATGTATCTTTTAGCTGGTGAGAATAGAGATAATTGTCTATTTGTCTTCATTTGGTACAAATCCTCCATTTACGTTAGCATGTGATGATGTTGATTTTGAAGCCTCTTTTTGCTCTGTTTTCTCGATATCTGTCTTTGTTTTGACCCGATGTCTTCTGTAAATACGGTAGCCTGGAGATTGGTATATATTTCATATTAAATAAAGAAATTACAAAAAATTGCCTGAAAGGACACTATAGTAACGTGTACACATGCAACATTTTGCTTCCTTACATTGCTAAAGCAAACAGTTTCTTTAAAGCTATGTTTAACTGTTTTATGTCAACAGCACTCATTGGTGGAAAAGTACTTTTAGAAAATAACAAGGAAAACATTTTAAACCCGTGTTTGGTGTTTGACCGCTTTGTGCTCCTGTTGTGTGCAGTGACTTTTTAAAACATTACCTGTCTCACTTGGGAAGTCCTTGGGTTCTTGGCTGGGTCTATGGGACTGACTTTTACTTCCATGTGAGTTCTGTTTGACAGGACCTGGGACAAAGTTTGTCTGTCCCCACACCATTGCCTGACAGAGAGGTTGGAGTTGGGGCTGCACACCACAGGCTGTGTCATTGGGACAGTGCTCTGGTGTTGGGTAAGATGGCTGGTTTGGGAGTGGGAGCTCAATAATCAACAGCTTGTTTCAGGTGTGAGCAACAGGGACAAGGTCCCAACCTTTGGTAGGTTAGTTGTAGTAGCACAAGTGCAACACATGGGAGGTGTATGTGGGAGGAAAAAGGGACCTTTACCTCTAAGGGAAGATATTTTCTCACATTAGTTGTGAAACTAATGCCTATTACCTCAGCGTCTGGTAGGAGGGGAGTTTGTGGGTATGGCCCTGCTGAGCAGCTGAGCACCCAGGCACCCTGGAACAGCGGAAGAAGATGTGTTTGGTCTTCCTTTGCTAAAGATAGTAACAATTCTGTGCTCAGTGCAGTCTCATGTGCCTAGTTGTAGGTGGTGGAGATGCCCTCCCTTGTGCTGTAAAAAAAGGGTCTTCCAAATTTTGAACTGAGCCTTGTATATTCCTACTTATGTACTGGCAACACCACAGTGGTAGTGCTTAATAATCATTATGTACTTAACTATTTTCCATTTGATTATTTTTATCCCTTCTTGTTTTCTCCATATTCATGAAAAATGGGACTGATAATAATCATAATTACAACTCTGTCATAGAAAATAGATATACTTTACCTCCTAAAATTAGTAGTGCAAGCAACAGCTGGAAAATGCTGTAGATGAGTGGGAAAGTAAACATCAGTTCAAGTTGTGCAGGAGTGAATGAGAGCTGTACTATAGTTGAACATAGCTGAGTGTTTTGCATGCCTGTTTCCAGAGACACTGTACGACATCTAAAGAGAATAATACAAAGACAGTTGTGAAATAGCAGCCTTACGCTTTGCAATAATCTAGATAAGCAAGAAACATACAGTAATGGATAACTAGGAAAATTGTATCTTTCAGCTCATGTAGTCAGCAAAACACTCCTCAAGTCATACGGCTCTTACCACCAGAACACAACAATTTATGCCAGTTCAGCAATTGTAAGGGACCGTGATCCACCTTCAAGCCACGTGTGTGGAACTACCTCCCTCTCTTTTAATGATGTTCTAGACTCCAAGCTGCTGCATCTTCATGAGAAATTTTACTGCATTCCCAACCCACTTATAAATCAAGTCTGTTTCATTAATCTGAAGTGGAGTACATGGGCACAGCAGGGGAAGACGTATGAACATTTGGAGGAAATGGTATAGTCAGAACCTGTGTATAAAAATGCGCACAAGTAAAGTTTTATCCTAGAAACAGGTTTGGGGAATGAGTGACCCTGAGCATAGCTAATGTTTAGGGAAGATTCTCAGCATTTATTAATCATTACAGAAAAACTTTTTTTCACAGTTGAAAAAGGCTACAGGTCTTTTTCGTGGAGAATTCCATACCTGTTCCAAGACAGACCAGCTAAGCGGGCCAGAAAGAATCCCAGACAATAGCCAGCTGCTGGAAATATGGTTCCAATGATCCATAATTTGGGTGAGATGATCCAGGAGCCTCTATAGAGTATTCCCCCAGCCACAGCAATGAGCACAATGAGGATTGCTCCCACAATGGAACCGACCTGTCAGGGAAAAGAGGAAGGACTGTGTGAGTAAGAGACTCTAACAAAATCCAGTGGCATCAAACATGGTGTCAAACATGCCTGTGAGTGTCTCCGAGTGACTGAAACTTCTTATTGAACATAAAACCCTGAAGTTTACAGCAACATAATTCACAGTAGGTAGACAGATTAGATAGCTGCTGTTTTTCCCAGAGAGGAGATGTACGATGTGCTTCAATGTGTTACTACGGATAAAGATCAAGGCACAGCTATAATAGATATCTATAGCAAATACCTGTAAAACTAGTCTCTTGAAGCCTTGGTTATAATTGTACTTAGAACTAGAGATTAAAATTAATTTCATAGGTGTGATGTGAGCAAGGAATGGTGCACACATTAGAAAAATTTCTCCAGAGTTGTTGGGAAGCTGGCAACCTCATATCTGGTAGAATGCACTTTTCCTCCCCGCTTCTTCGGCAGTTGCACTCTAGGGCTTATTATAACGTATGCTAACTATATCCTAGACTGTTAGTGATAGCAAATTATTTTCCAGGTGGAGGGGTAAATATTTAACATGGCTGAAAATTTGTGTTTGAAAACTGCGGGTTTGTATAGCATTTCTACATAGATGTAGTCACTGAGTTGATTTTATTTCCTGTGGCTGAATATGCTGAGATCTTCACCACTGATTGATTGCCAAAAATGTGGTAACTAAGCCTCTTCTCAATATCCAAGAGAAATGTCTGCCCTTATGGCATATGTTGCCAGGGATCTTACTGGCAGACTTCTGGGGCTAAGCTTAGGGTAATCCATTTCTCAGCTAAATATGTATTTCCATTAAACTGGCTTTATCAACCTTTGGCTGAAGCCCCTTTAAGAGCACTGAGCAAACAAGTACTTTTGTTTGACTGAGCTATTAACCACATGCACTTAGGAAGAAGAAACATGGTCTGGCCTGACAAGCTCTTTTTTTTTCACCTGGCACACTGTCCTTGTGCTCTTATCTCCATTTCTCACTATACAGACCTTAATCTGACAGCTATAGCTCAATTGCACTTGATGCTTCATTGTCCTGCATAAAGCAAATTGTCAATGGACCCTGCTGTAGGTTGCTCACCCACTTGGTAAGAAAGAGGACAAAACAGTGTTTTGCTGAGAGAGCAAGTAGAGTTTCTTTTCATGTGAGTTTAAGTCCATGATTTTCCCTTAACTGATTAAACAGGAACAGTACAGTTTTGAAACCAGCACTCAATAGTATCCAAGTTCATAAGTACTGTGAGTGTATTTAAAAATAGAACAGAAAAAACTAAGAGTCTGAGAAAATTAATTGATTTAAAAGAATCTTGTGTTCTGTGTTTCCTGAACTGACAGAAGAGACACGATAACAAAACATAGGTAGAATAATAAGTTGTCAGCGTAGTTTTCTTCAAGAAAATTTAGAAAATATACGTGTTAAGTAAGAATGGTAAACAAATACCAAGGGTACTCAGAATATGGCAGTCACTTTCAGCCTAAACCTACTGATAAGAATGATTAATTTGCTGTTAACACTAAAATTAGCTGTAAACACTAAACAGCTATTTTAATAAAAATATTCAATAAAAATAACAGTAAATAATTTATATAATAATATAAAATATAATATTTTTACATAATCTGATATTATTCTATAATTACATCTAATTTATTATCATTATTATTATTTTTGAGGACAATTGTTTTTAAAAAAAATCATTTTTTGATGCATCTGAAACTATCTTGCAGATACTTGAATTTTCTGAACAGTTTTCTTAGATTTTTAGCAGTCAGAATATTTTGAAAATTTTTTTAAATGAAAATTGACTTCACACTCAGAATTGCCCGCATAAATCAATGAGCTGTTTTAAAAATAGAAAGTTGTAGGTTTCTTTAACCCAGAATATTTTTATTTTTTATTACCTTGCAGAGTAAAAACTGTTTCTAGTTGACCTGAATGATTTTCCTTCAATTTCAGTTCACATTATGAACTGAACTCAATTATTATCACAGTTGTAGCCAAAGATAAAAGTAGGCTCTTTGGATAATCATGGTTTCTAAATAATGTATGCAACTCATGCATATTTGTGCAGGGAAAAGCAGCACATTTCTGAACCATCTCATTTGTTTCCTGCTGAAAACTTCCCTACTCTTATAAAGTCAGACATTAATGTTATGAATAGCAATGTACTGCTGCTGATTCCATAATTTGTCCATAAATCTAATGCTTCAGCCTTATATATATCTTACCTTAAGTATGATTTTTGCTTTTCTAGGCCATTTGTGGTTAACATATATTCCAAATGAAATAGGAACTACAAGAGCTACCAGTGAAATTCCTTTAAAAAAAGAAGAGAGAAGTTAAGACCAAGTATCGTGCAGAAGTTCATGTCAGGAAGACTGACACCATGCAGCATGTCTGGGGGTGCAGAGCAAGCCTTCAAAGGATGTTTCTGGTATGTGCACCCCAGAGCATGCATCCATGCTCTACCCACACCTGCCTATTTGCTTTTCTATGGAGTCTGTTACCTTTGGCAGCCTGTTGCCGTAATTGCCATTCTGCTGATCTACATGCTCATTCACCTGCATCAGAAAGGCAGACAGAAATTTGAGTGTGCTAATCATCACTATCCTGTGATATGAGTACCTATATTGAATGTTCATTTTGTCTGCAGGTGTTTTGCTACTGTACCATATCAACAAATGGTTTAGAGCTTCTTTTGTCTTGTCCTCCCCCCTCCAGTATTTATTTTGAAAGCACGAGCAATGTATGTGATATTTTTTTCTCCCCCAGAACAATAGGAAATGAAATTGAAGAATATAAAAGTGATTCTGCTGGTTTTTAAGATTAGCACAACATGGAACTACACTTGATAAGCACTAGGGCCACAGCTCTGCAAAGCACTGGAGCATGTATTTCCAAACTCTGACAATTTTTTCTTTGTAGCTGGATGAGATTTTCGACAGGATGTCAAATGAAGCCACTTCTGGTGGTGTAGATTGCAGCTTTTCAAAGAGACTCAGCAGTTTTAATCACTTGCTTAATTATCCACATGTGCTTAAGTACTTTGCCAGATTATGGCCTCAGCACTTGCACTTTGCAGTATTGTGATTTAAAGCTGTTACAAACACTTTCATCCAGGGGAAGTAGCTATTCACGTACAAATGATTCTATATTCTTAACCCAGTCCCTTGCAGGTCTCCAAACCATTTGGAAAGAAAAACATGCACAATCTTGTGATAAATATCTGTATAATATTTATAATGACTTCAAGTCTTTGTTCTGCAGAGCGGTGGATGACGTGGAGTGATTGAGGTACCTAATTCCCATGGAAGCTATTAAAAAGTAGGAGGATAAATATTTTTCAAAATCTGGGGTAATTTCTTCATAACTCCTCATAATGATGGCATAAAGGAGAAGGGGAAGTGCTGCTTCACTGGACTCACCAATGCTGTTGTAGGGGAGTACAATTGCGTTTGCATCAGTCCACATCTTGGTGTAAATAAAGAGGCAAAGTGGCATCATTCCCATTGCAAGTAGCGTGGAGCAAGTTGTCATGCTGATGCTGCAAAGAAATTGGGTAGATAGACAGTTTATCTCATGCTAGTCTATAGTCTTCCTAATTTTCTTATTATGACTTCACAGCTTATGAAATGTTGGGCAGGAAATGCTGCTGACTACAGTCTATTTATCATGTATTTGAGGTTAGAAAAAGGCTAACTGGAAGGAATGGCTTCTGCTGAAAACAGAGGAACATAAAATATCAACATGTTCTGCAGCCACAGGACAATAACTTGCAGTGTAAATGAGGCAGTCAGACAGGCATCCATCAGGAAGGTCTGTTAGCCAGTCTGTCTGCATGCTGCCTGTCCAACTAGCTTCTGAGAGGGTGGCAAGCTGGACAGGATCAGATCAGCATTGAATGGAGTTTTCCATTATACCAGGATTTCTGGAGTGTTAAAATTTCACTCCAAAGTCAACGACATAAAAAATAAAAGAAAATAAAAAAATACTGTCTAGGTTGTGTGCTGCAATAAAATTCCCTTTTCTGGCTTGTTTTGCTCTAGGCCAAAGAGTAGGTGACAAGAGCTACCTAGTGAAGCCTAGCGTAAGTATTGCTGCTTCCTTTGTGCAAAAACATTTCTGTTTTAAAATATAAAATCTTGAAACCGTCAGGCCTGAAACACCTTGTACTGACAGATGCATTCTGAGACAGGAATGAAGAGGGAGGAAAAGGGAAGATAGCTAAAATAATGTGGAAATTCTCAGAATCTGAGCAGAATATATAAAATTACGTCTACAAATCACACTCCTCTGACATAAAAACAATGAGAGAGGGCTCTGGTTGAGGGACTTTGGGAACTTCCTTTTGAGTCTCACTTCTGATTTTTCTTTTATGTTGCTGGTCCTCAGAAAAGGGTCTACTGACCCTGTCCACAAACTGGGCAGGTGCAGAGAAATCTAGAAGGATTAAGATAGAAACAACAGGAATATCGGCATTCATTTTTGACCCTTTAACTCTCTGCTTCACAGTCATTGCATAGAACTTTGTAGGAGCCTCAGGCTAGAAAGTTTGTACACACAGAGAAAAAAAAGAAATGTTGGCTACAATTAAGATAAAATAGATAAAGGAGCTTATTATTTCCTACCTCCAGATTTCCTACATTTTCATATTGTCCTTGTATATACATCCTGTTCCAGTCTGCACATTGTCTGACTCTAGTCCCTGTTCTCACAGAAGCTCCCAGGGGATTGGATAAAATGGATAAAAGAGATTATTTTTCCTACCTCCACATTTCCTACATCTTCGTACCGTCCCTGTACCCTGCTCCAAAGTTTGCACATTCCCTAACCCCAGTCTCTGTTCTCACAGACACTCCTAGGGTTGCTGTGGAGGAGATGGTGTTTCAGAATCAGTTGTTTTTGTGAAATATCAAGAGATGTCAAAACCAGATTTCCCTATGTGAAGCTGGGTCTGAGTTACTGAAAAAACATATAAAAATTCATCCTTCATCTCCCTGTGATTATATGAGCAGTAGAAAACAAATTCCTGCTCTGACTTGTGGTCTGTTTGCTTTGGGAAGTTTTGAAGCAGGACTGTAGACAATTCTCATGGATTGCTACTTATAAACATAAAATATCATCAGCTAAAACCAAAACCTTGTCTGCTCTGACAGGCAGGCTTTCTATCATAATGTGCTGGCTCTAGAAACCAGCCAAGCTGCTTAAATTATTATTCTTTTATCAAGAACTGAAGACACTTGCATTGCTGTTTCTGCTGTAGGTCACATATTCTCTGGTCCCTGAGTTATTGTCTCAGAGGTACTGACCAAAAGCCTTTGATTTCTTAAGGTAAATGTCTTTACCTGAAGAACAAGCTTTTATAGGTATTTTCAATTTACTCCACCCTCCACCCAGCATCCTGGGATATAAACCCTACTCATATTTATGTTTATCATTGGTTCTCACTTTTACCATTGGTTTCAGTAGTGTGACTTTGAACACACAGAGCTGGGAAAGCATAGTTTAGCTCAGTACGTTCTTCTAAGGAAAGACTAGGACAGGATTTCAGACTTGTGCTGGATACCTTTCCATCTGTGGTTTCTTAGACCTGTATTTATTGAAATTAGGTGTCTTACACCTCCCTAATATCATAGGTCTTTTCTCCACAGTAAGGAAGCTGGTGATTAGCAGAGCTGACCTCATGCATAGTTCGAAGGCTGGTATTACATTAACACCTGCATATGACAGAAAAGCTCACTATTTTCAAAGGATGGAAAAAATGTCTTATTAAAGCCACAAATATTAACATTCTTAGTCTATTTGCCCTAGCTCCACATCTTTCTTACTTCTATTATTTTTTCCATTTCTAGTTCAGACTGGAATATGATAAATTGGAGGAATGCTACAATTTATGTTTCTCTGTGGGAAACAGAAATGATCCTGTTTAGTTTTGGTTTTTTTTTTTGTTTTTTTTTTTTTTTTACAAAAAAGTAATCAGGATATAAATATCAAAAGACGGCTCATTTTTAAAGGCTGTTAGAGTTAATGAACCCCTCGTGGAATTTGTATCAAGAGTAGGGTTCACTTCTCCTGTGTATTTGATGTCCTAGGCCATGCCAGGTGCCTTACATATCTGTTTCTGAGTTCAGAGCACCCTGTCATTGAGACCACCACACTTTGTCACAAAGGTTTTTTTTCATTGCCCCCATATGCAGGGCTGCCTTAGACAGTGCCTTCTAGCTTGTAAAACTTGCCTTCAGTTTGAGGACTTTGCAGAAAGTGCCAGGAGCAAATAGAATGACTGCAAGTGATTTTCATTTGTATTAGTTCCCAAAGAGATAATCCATGCCTGTCTATTCGTCTTTTCCCACAAAAGGAGGGAAAATATCTGTCCACAGGTGGTCTTACTCAAGAAACATTACTTCAAGAACTATTGCACAGCCACTATTTAGTACAGAGGATTCAGATCCTAAAATCCTTTGTTACACATATTTCTTTCTTTTTTATGCCTAAGATGTTGGGAGAAACAAAAAAAATCACAAAACTAGTTCTAACTTGGACAAAGATTTCATAACCCTTGGTATCTTAGTGGTCTTCATAAATGCTATTTTCTACAGGATCTGAAGATTTACAATAAATGCATTTTCTAATGTACACAATTCTGTTGCGGTATTTTCTTCATGAATTCTCACTGAACCAAGGATATTTGCTATTCTGTATATATTTACTACTATTACAGTAACTAAACATCTTTACAAGAAAAAAGGTTCTCTGTGCATGGGCCAGGAAACTAAGAAAAAAAAGCAGAGAGTCTTTCTCAATATAAAGTAGAGTAAAAAGCCAGATGAACTAATTAGGGAATGGCTGGTCTTACCTGAGGTCCATGTCTCCATCCACCCAGTAGGCGATGATATTGGAGGCTGTGCCTCCTGGACAGCATCCCATGATCAGCACCACAACAGCTTGAATAGGAAGCACGTTAAAGGCCAGGGACAGCAAGAAGCCTGTGAGAGGCATAATCCCAAACTGGCAAAGGAAACCCACAAAAATACCCCAGGGTCTTTTTATGTGGCCCCAGAATTTCTTAAGTTCCACATTGCAACCCATGGAGAACATCACCAAAGCCAGCATGATCGTTAGAACAGTACTTAAAACTACACTCAAAGTTTCATTAAAATTATCTTCCGGTAATACACAAGATGTGCCATTGCAAATAGTAGCATTTGCTGGACAAGCCGTGGAGTTCTCTGCCAAAGGCCTGATGTTAAATTGCTGGGAAAGAAGATATGCCTGCATTTTGAAATACAGAACCGCTCAGTACATCCGAGGCAAACTTTCAAGCCTGTGTAAATCGTTGTTTGTCAGTGACTGCTTTTAAATGATCCAGGAAGCAATAAAGTGCAATAAATACTTGAACACTCTTACTATTCTTGCAGGGTTTGGCACAGTGCTGATTCATATAGTTATAAAAGTTGCACTTGCTTTGTACAATGACAATTAATCATTTATTCATATGATAATGAGGAATCCCACATCAAGAGAATAGCTATGTTAATCTTTAAGGGTGCAAAGGAGGCTTGTGGTGTAGTTGAGCACATGAAATGAGAATCACAGGAGGAAGATAAAGTTTACACTTCATTCTTTGAATTTCTTGCATGCCTCCAGGAGAGTCACTCATGCATGCACTGTCAGTGGCATTACAGGGGTCTGTGGGTGAGAGACCAAGATGCAGGAAACCACAAGTAGAGGTCCTGAGCTAGGATTTGAAGCTGCAACCCTTGTTAAGTGATGCAGCATTCACTGTGGCACACAGGCTTGTTTAGTTGTGGTGGGATTCTCATTTGGTTGTATTTCTAGAAGTTACTACTGGTGCACAGTGATAACTCTACCACAGGACTGTGTGCATGTTTGTGTTACTTTTGGCTCCTAAATGTAACTGTTAGGTAATCTTTCTGATTCCTTCTCGGCTTTCATGTAATCCTGAAGATGGTGAAGATCCCTGGGTCCAACCTTTCCCATGAAGCAGTCTGCTAAAGTGCTGCTTGCACACGGCTTTGACGCATGGAGAACCTCTGGTGTCGTATCTCCACCTCCCTCCAGCCTGGGCAGGGGGTGACCACCTGATGGCAGCTCTTCCCTGCTCATGTCTTACATTGCTTCTGACCACATCCACCTCCACACTGATAAACTGTGGAAGAGAGGAGGGTGGATGGAAGGGTGGGGAGCTGCCCAAGTAAGAACATAGTCTGTGCTTATTCGGGCAGGGTGGAGATTTACAGTCATCCTGGCACTTCTGCAGGTGCAGATGGTGCAGCTGGTGCAGTTATGCTCTGCTCCAGCTTGGGCTGGAAACAGCGGGTGGTGAGAGGAGGAGCATGGGGTTACAAGGGCGGAGGAGGAAGGAGACGGTTTTCCTGTGCCAAGCATGGAGTATGGGGAGCAGGGCAGTGGGGCTGGTGTGCTGCTGCGGTACCCAGCCAGAGCTGATGGCATCCCTGTTAGCATGGCAACACGTTCAGCATCCACACCAGGGGCTAGGGTGCAGGTCACCTTTTTTTTCTGATGTGGCACAGAGGTCAGGAGGCAGGTTTCTTGTGCCTGGCTTTGGTGTGGCTTGCTGTTCTCTGTCACGCCCATGGCTCAAAAGGGATGAGGGGCTGAGGCAGGGCAGCTTCCCTGGGACCTCTTTGGGGGCTTATAGCTCTAGGATGGGCACTGGACATATCGTATGGTGTGGCTAACACCTCCTTTGTATATGGGACCAGAGGAATTCCACAGCATCCTCAGTGAATTTGTGTCCTGCTGAGTGTCCCTTGATTCATGTCCTTTGCTCACGTGTGCTTTTCTGTAGAAAAATATCATATATCAGTCACTGCTTAGATACCTTTACTACGTTTTCTCCCTGCTAGGTGAATGTAGTGCAAAGATTCATGCTTTGGATAGCAAAATAACTTTGTACCACTGGTATTCTGTAAGCAAAAGAAGGTACGAGAGCAGCCAGATGGGTTGTTCAGGAAAGCAACAGCAGCAACAGCAACAACAAAACATTCGAAAGCTGTGATAATTTTGACTATGCAGCATACCAAAATCTCAGTCTCTTCTCAAAAGTTTACCAAAGCCTTTCTTTTGTTTGTTTTTTGTTGGTTTTTAATTGGGCAAAAGTTTACCCCTCAGGCTTCCTCCACAATTGGAAGCATTGTAAAGGGAAGAATTTTGATGCTTTACGTGTACCCAAGCTTTGAGGCAGAAGCAGCTTCCAGGTCATATCTTTGACTAAAATCAAGTCCAAAACTTACAGTGCAAATGATGCCACCCAACATTGCTAGTTTTCAACAGAGAAATATTTTTTCACTAAGGTAACTTGCTAAACCATAATTACCTTCATCAAGCCAGGCTCCCCCTGAAAGCTGCTGCATTTTCTGTCCAACCTCAGTGTTCAGAATGAAGGGAGTTGCTATTTTTTTTAACTTTAAGCCATGAACCGTTGTGGGGGAGCTGACTGTATTAGAAAGGGTTTCCCAGCATGCTCATAGGGCACCTGTTTCTTTACAAAGGGGTCAGCTAAGTGGATGTGTCTCCTAAGCCACTGTTGGGTGCCTGATGGGATAATGTCAGAGTAGCTTTATCCTCCCAGGCAGCTGGCAACTCCTACCCTGTGATTAGTGCCACATCTGTGTGACTGTGATATGTCTAATAGAACAACAAGCAAGGTAATAAGGAGTAGATGAAAGGAAGAGAAGGCTTACAGGATCTCGGTTTGGCAGAAAACTTCTTATTATGCCTGCTTTCAAATAGAATGTTTTAGAAGCTTCTATTTTTTTCAATCCAAATCTTTTAAAGGGCTAGTTAGGTTTTAAAAGCATGCCTGCATTAATGTTTTCTATAAAACCTGTGTCAGAGTATGGATTTGCATTTGAACCTGTTTTGTGTTGAAACTAAAGCTTTTGACTAGAGCATGTTAAAATCTCCGGCAAACCTCAAGGCCGCGGGTTACTTTCCCAGGCCTGTAAATGTCTGTAAAAGAGGGTGAGTGGTTCGGGAGAGGACATAAGGGATCTCCAACTCACAGAGGCTGTTTCTCAGGCAGGGGCTTGCTTTCACTTCCTCCCTCCTCCTGCCAAGCACATCTGAGATGTGAAGGGGCGCTCAACGCTGTCCCTCAGAAATAGCAAGGGAATGTCCCTGCTCTTGGTCTCCAGCTTCTTTTGAGACATAGGAGTGTCCAGGTCTCATTTTGGGGTTTGACTTCTGGAAATGGAGTGGAGGGGGAGATCTTCCTGGTCAGGGTTTGGGCTTGACTGAGGGCAAACAAGACATCAGCTACTCACCTTCATCGCCTTATGGGTCAGCAGGTTGTGTAAACATAGCCTGTACTTACTGCTAGGTTTGCCTTCTCTCTTTCTCCTCTACTGCAGAAAATGATGTTTCCAAGTCATTAGCTCATCAGCTAGTTGTATAAAACCTAGATCACAAAAAATCCTTTCTGGAAACAGAACTGAGCTCTTCTGAATTCAACTGATTATTAGGCACACAATGCCACTATTTAACACAGATGTTAATATCTATTTCAAGAAATCTTCATGTGTTGTTAGGGAACTAAAACCATACCCAAGACATTGAAATATTTGCAGGCACAGTTAAAAACTTGGCATGTTGTAAGAGATACAATATTATTAAGTAGGCAGGCAGCTCTCTCAGGAGTGCTGGATTTCAAACATTCCTATAGTCTGTTTTGTTTTTCAATCTGTACTTCTGAGATTTAATCCACATGCAGGCTAGTGGGAGAAAATGGATCAACAACCCTATATTTGGCTGCTCTCTATAAGTTTTCCTGATATCCTCAGGGAAAGCAGCATTTCAAAGATGGCTGTCAGAGGTACTGAGCTGTACAGCTTCTGTTGCCTGTTTTCCACTCAGGTTATGGTACTTAACTGGTGAGATGGACTACGTACTGCTCTGTGAACCTAAATGGCATCTTTTGCCTGTTCCCACTGCACGTGTTATTCAGTGTGATTTTAAGCATTTGTCACTGGCATTTGGCGAGGAAAATTACAGTGAGCTTGGTGGTATTTTGGTGATGATTAACATGCCAGGTCTGATTCTGGACACTGTCTGTCAGCATAGCTCGAAAATGAAAACAATCAATACTTAAATAGAGAAATACCAGCCTAACTGTATTTTTGCACCCTCACATTACCAAATCACTGTATTCTGAATTGTCTTCTTCAATTTTTGTGGTGATGAGGCTGCCGCCTTATGCCAGTGAGTTTAGCATCACTTGAGCAAACAAATCCAAGCAGATGAAACCTGTAAGGATCTGTGCCGACAATTAGATAATTGATTTATCCATTAACTCAAGCAGTTATAAAACATGAATAGCAGTAATGTATACAGAGCCTTATTCTGGGAGAGACAATTTAACAGTTTGTCTTTTATGGCTGTCTGGTGCTTATTTCTGTGATGCTTCTCTTAATGAGACTTATGAATCTTCCCTGTCTGCTTAATTCAGACTCTGAGATGCTTCTTAGTGTATTTATGTCTTAGAAGAATCTTTTCTTTCAGATAATTAATTTTCTAAAGCCAATTACCTGCTTCTTGCCACCATCATTAAAAGAGCACTTATACCTAGTTTTGGTGACCTTGTTTATAACTTTAAACTTTAGTATAAGTATAGGTGGAAGATTGTTTTGCTTGCGTGTTTGGAAAAAGTGATACTACATAATTGGAAGTTTGCAGAGGTCATTAAGAAAAGAAAATCATGCAGTAGCAGGAGAGAAACATTAAAATACATCTAGCTCAGGATAGCTTCCTAAAGAATGCTGAGAAGTCAGCTATAAAGCTGACTTACTGAATCTTTACATTTACATTTTTACATTTCACCATCTGGAGCATACATCTACATTTTGCCTGTCAGATTCTTAAGCTGAGTCTCAAATGAAACATCGAGGACATGGGTGCTCACTTGTTTGGCTGTTGATGAGCTCAGCTGGGAAAAGAACTTGATGTGTGACGAACGTGGATTGCAGGCAAATTTAGCTTGCTGCTGTACTAGCTCCGAGAGATGCACCTTACACCCATGGCTGAACTCCTGTACACACTAAATAGTTGGTTTGAGGGGTGTGATTCTGCTGTGATTCATCAGAACTTGACTGACAGATATAGTGTGTGCAATGACAAATGCATAGTGCATTTATATTTTCTGATATGTTTCAGCCTTACCTATCTAAGTCATGACAGAAAGTCTAATCTTTCAGTGTACCCATCTTCAGTAACCAAACACAAGTATTTTCAATAGAACAGGACATCTCATCCCAGTAGTGCATAGTTACTATGCAACTGCAGGTAAGAGCATGCAAAAGCCTTAGACTTTAAGGAACTTCAATCTTTTTTGATATGTGTATGAGGAGAAATCTGCTTCTGTGCTGTTCAG